CGAGAAAGGAGAAGACCAATCATGGTCCTCACGTCGGAAATTAAAATCTCTTTCTTCCAGTCGAATATTGGACATGTAGAGGGAAGAAGATATCTTTCTTCGGGTTCGGGTTTCGGGTTCGGAGTGGGGGATGGGGTGGGCAACGTCTACGTCTTTGTCTCTTTTCCTCTTCTTGAGACTGGCGAGCATAACCCCCGGACTGGATCTTTTATCCGTGTCTTGGGTCATTATGAAACTTCGTCCAGGGCCAGAGTCCGAGTCGTTTTCGACGTGTGTCAACCGTGTTTGGTCTGACATGCCTTGCGTTGTTGTTGTGGCTATAACGGAGATGGGAGAGGAGGCATGATCTGATCTTTCGCGTTGATCTCTCCTTTCAGAACCACCAGGAATAGAGTATATTCGTTCTCTGCTGGCTCTGCTGGTATCCAGAGCAGAGGAAGCGGAATACCCAGTGTCCAAACTAGAAACACGATCATGGCTCCTTCCCAGACCTGAAGAGGAGGATAAGCGAGATGACCAAGGGAGAGTCAAAGTTTTCGGACGGATGGGATCCCTACGTCTTTCGGCCACTTGTCGACGGTTACTGTTATTGTACACGATGGCTTGAGAGGACCAGAAAGGAACTTCCCGCTCGAACAATGGCCCGTATTTCCTAGTAAAGTATTCGATCCGGATGGGTATGAGGGTCCCGTACTGATTTGTCAGCGGTTTGCAAGTTTGGATTTGGATGATTCGGGCAGGCAAGAACAAGAGCACGATTGGCAGGTACAATCGCACAGGATCGACTCACCCTCTCCTTCCACCACTTGTGAAAACCAGACTTTGTAGATTTTGAAACGTCCAGATTATACTGCTTCATCTTCTCAATCACTATCTCACCTTGTAACCTAGATTGTTCATCTTGCCATTCGGAATAAACCACGTTCTTGGGTACCTTGGGTCGGTCCATGATCAAACGTCCATTGCTCTCCGCCAGCTTGAGGTACCAAACAGATACGGGGATGAACGTGGATGATTCGATACAATACCTGATCCAATCTTCGTGGACGTGAGCTGGGGACGGTGCGTGTATGAGAGGTGAGGGGGGAAGAGGGGTGGGACCTGGATGCAAGATGAAATCCACCTTTGGGGGAGAAAGATCATGATGACAAGGAAAAGGAAAAGCATGATAGCTCCAAGTTCCGTGATGAGACTGTTGACCTGGTTTCAGCGGATTGCAACGGAAAAAGGCAAAGGGGGGGAAAGGAAAAGGAAAAGAAATGAATAGACCCACGACGACTGAACGCATGAGACCCCAACGGGGGACGAAACCGGGTGAGAGGGAGAAGACGAGGTCTCTGAAGATGTGTCTCCCCCGGGGGGCTGAGTCGAGGTCGAGGTGTCGAGTTGTGCTTGAGGCCCCGGGGTGAGAAGAGGAGGAGCGAGGAGAAGGAGGAGGCGAATGAGAGGTGATCGAGGCGAAAGCGTCAAGGTTTGACACCCTGCGACCGAGAGAGATGACGGAGGGGGTGGATGTGGGTGGGGGTGGGGCATGGCTCGGTGGGTGTGACGGTGGGTGTGACGGTGACGGTGGGTGTGACGGTGGGTGTGACGGTGGGTGTGACGGTGACGGTGGGTGTGACGGTGACGGTGACGGTGACGGTGACGGTGACGGTGACGGCGATGAAAACATCGAGTCTGTTTGGCGGTGGGTGGATGAATGCCTAAGTATGGCCGGCACCCTTCATCCCCATTACCCATCCTATTCCCAGCGGTGACACCAACATGGGCTTGATCAAATTTGAATAGTATTTATGGAATCTTCAAAACTGGATGGAATTGTGAGGGCTTGACCTGGAAACACCTAAAGGGCCATTCCGATTTTTTATTTTTTATTTTCATCTTCTTCTCCCTCTATCTCATTCAATATTGCAGGTATTGAGGACATCTCTTTTGAGCATTGCTCAGTACACCTAGATGTATCTTTTGCTGCCATCTAGATGCATGCAAACAGCCTACATCACACCCCTTCAAATTACAGGTTCTCTATAAGGAGGAAAACAACAGCCTTTCTCCATCTCCTGTTCCACAGGAGGTAGCTGAATCCATCAAATTCCTACTGTAAGAGAAAGCAACCTATCCAGAGCCTTCTCAGGCGTCTGCAAGCCTCAAAGAAGACCATGGAGATGGTAAGTGATGACAGAATGATGATTTAGTCATATTTGGGGGTGGTGAGAAGCAAGTGCCACATTGGGTCCATCCCCCTTTGGGGCCCCAAATCAAAATATCGAATCAAGTGATCTACTCTCTTGGGTCACTTGAGAGCTTCATATTGTGACAGATGATGCATCAAGTTCTGACAGCCCTGAGTTCTCTCAGGGAAGAGTAGTAACACGCACCTGGGCTTATTTGAATTTCAATAGTACATGGATTTTAAAATCGAATTGAATCGACACGGCTGAATGTACAGGGTTAATTCCTTTTGAGACAGTCTCATAATGATTGTGAAAACCCCTGAGAAGTGTTCTGACAGCCCTGAGTTCTCTCAGGCACGAGTAGTAACACACACCTGGGCTTATTCGAATTTCAATAGTACATGGATTTCGAAATTGAATTGAATCGACACGGCTGAATGTACAGGGTTGATTCCTTTTGAGACAGTCTCAGATTGGGCCAAAGGGGTTGTGGCTGAGGGTGAGGACGAGTTAGAAGAATACTCTGATGATGATATGAGGGAGGTGATTAGTGTTGATAACGAAGAGGTAGATGGTCCTGAGCGTGAGTCCTTCATCCATCCCCTCCCGTCTTCACCAAACTTGGTCTTGTTTATCTGTTCTTTAGCTCTCAAAACATTGCTAACTCGCAGCCGTTCCCGTCTCTCCCCCTGCCCAAGTTGAGGGCCAGAAACGTCCCCGTTCTCTCTCTTCTTCTTCGTCCTCTTCTTCTTCCGGGGTTCTTTCCCCCGTCAACGCCATCGCCGCCGCCGCCGCTGCCAACACCGCCCGTCCTGTTGCCAACGCCGCCTCCCTCTGATCTCCCCAAGGGGAGCTTTTGCCCAAACAGGTGAAGAGGTCACTAAGGGAAGAAGAGTACTTGTGGGAGAAGATGAAGTCTGAGCCTGGACGTTGGGTAGTGGTTCCTGTCGATGAAGCGTGTGATTGTTGCCAGTTAGTATTCCCATGTGTACTACGCCGAAGTTACTCCTGCTAATTAGTAGACGTGAGATTATCCCGTATAACCGTCCAAACTGGCCCTGCCTCAAGGCAGTTAGGCCAAACAACAAGGCCCTCTGTTGTGCTTCATGCACATCTGGAGTCTGCTCCTTCTGCCCCGTCTCCTCTGCTCGGGACATTCCGCCCTGTCCCTCCGGCTCATCACCTTTTCCCCCTCCTCAGCCTCCAGCGTCTGTCGCCCGTATGTGGGTACCATCTTTGTCTCTCCGCTCGGTTCGCCGGACTTTGCCGTACTCCCGCCCTTCTCCTCTGTCGCCGTCGCCTTTTGCCTCAGTGGCCGGCCCATCACGTCTCCCGGCTGCTCCTCCTTCATCCTCTCATCGTCCTTCTCTGGTTGGTCCTTGTCACGGCCCTCGAGCAATTTCTTCCTAATAGACCGACGGTTGACGAACCTCGGCTAACTTCACGCTTCTGGGTCGATGTCTCACCCAACCAGGAGGGCGCAGACGCCGAAAGGAGTGTAACTACGGCGTAGTTACTCTAACTAAGGTTTTGTTCTACTGATGGCGATGTATCTCGATTTATAGCTATCTCTATCTGTCTTTTATTACTGACAACAATCAAGGATCGCTGAAGAACTTCAGCGATCTTCTCAGCTAATATTATCTATTCCTCCTAGACGTTCATCCAACCCTCCCGCGCTTTGACGTACTTCAACGCACTTCGTCCAACTTCCCCGAACCCCGGCCATCCTCTTCCTCCTTTGGCTAACTCCGCCTAACTTCGCCGCACTTGTACTCCCATTGTCCCTACCTAGCCTAGCTCCGCCTAACTTCGCCGTACTTCTGCTCCCATTGTCCCTACCTAACCTAACTTCGCCGTACTTCTGTTCCCATTGTCCCTACCTAACCTAACTTAGTCTAACTTCACCGTACTTGGTCTCAGATGTCCTGAGTTACGTGTAGAATAAAGAGGTTGAGTCGTGATGGGGGTTTTGATGGTCAAAGGAGGGTCATTGTTTATGGAATAATCGAGGTGTCACGACGTAGTTTGTGACAGTCCTCTCCTGTGGTGCCCTCTCCTCCTGTCATGACCCTACTCATCATGACTTCCCCATCCAAGGGTCCGGCCCATTCCTCAGAGAGAAAGGTTCTCAGTGAAGTCTCACAGAAGTCTCGCAGAAGAGAATAGAGGTTTACGCCTCGCTTTTATTCAAGATATCATGTTTTGATTCAAAGTATGACGTAACTGAACTTCTGGTGAAGACTTAGGTGAGATTTGGTGGATTGAAGAAAGTGCCACATGCATGCATGCACCACACTGAACGTCTGAATGTGGCACGGAGGACTCAAAAATATCAAAAAGTGCCACACTCAGCGCGCGCCACAAACGCTGCCACAAGCGTGACCTCTACCTCCTTCTCTCACATTTCAACTCAAGATGACCTCATTCCAGGGTCTCGAGTGCTCCACTCTTTTCGCTCTCACAACGAAGACAGCTAGAGTGGCAAACTCTTCGTGAGGGTGATTGTGAGGTTAATGTGCATCGCTAAAGCTCTTGCATGCATCGTGAAGATGCATATCAAATGAACAGGAAGTCAGAACACTCAATTCATGTCATACTTATTTAGATACCTTTCCAATTCTCTCTATAGAACACCCATCGTTCAACTTAACAAAACAAACTTAGTATCGACAAGTAGCTACAAGTCTCCCTTTTCCGACAAGGTCTTAACGGTTGCTGGAGGAAGCGTGGTTACCGTTGTGGAACGCGGGATCAGGGGTACCCCCAACAGCAGTGGTATGAGCATAAACATCGCTTACCACTTCTTCTGCTGCGGTATAAACTCCATGATTGGTTTGAAGCGAACAAGGACGGTTCTGGAGTACGCAGCAATGGCATTTCTGGCCAGGACCAAGCACAAAACAGCGCCTGTCCCCCCTAGTCTGACATAAGCTAAAATATCGATATATGGAAGAACTTACCTTCATAATACAGTTATAACACTTCCAGGGAGCAGGATACCCGAAGAGAAGAATGTCAAAACCGGTCCTGCGATGCCACATAGTGTTCCTCTGAGCCTGTATAGATTAGAATAGTCAGGTTAGAGACATAGAAGGAGATTACTTACAGCGGTACGAGGTTGTTGATTCTGAGCGATAGAAGGTATCGACTGAGTTGAAACTTGGTACGACGATTGATAAGAGAACATTTAAGCTGTGGTTGAAATTTGAGATTGATTGGATGAGCGGTTGGAGAGGAATTAATCGCCAAAGTGGGGCCTTTATATATCCATCAAAGAGCTCCACCTATGAGGTCATAGTTTGCCTAAGTGTTAGCAGAGGACTTCGATTCGGAGAGGGAATCTTTCAGTGACGTCAGGACAGGGTCAGATCTTTCAAACGAGCCCTTGTGGGGCCCAAAATTCAGAAAAACGCGACTTGTCCATGCAAATTAGGCGGATGTGGCACTTTAAGAGTAAGAGAAGAATGGGAAGGAAGGAGAGAAGTTATGTGCCACATTCCACAGGAAACAGTTATCACTTGCTTGGATGATGGAATAAGGTAAGAATGGACACAGAGGACAATTAAGATATTGGTTTTATACATAGAACACTTAGTAATTAGTAGTACATAGAGGGCAACCAACAGAGCGCTCAACGGAGTTCGCGCCTTAAGGAGGGGCGACTGTCATGACCCTACTCATCATGACTTCCCCATCCAAGGGTCCGGCCCATTCCTCAGAGAGAAAGGTTCTCAGTGAAGTCTCACAGAAGTCTCGCAGAAGAGAATAGAGGTTTACGCCTCGCTTTTATTCAAGATATCATGTTTTGATTCAAAGTATGACATAACTGAACTTCTGGTGAAGACTTAGGTGAGATTCCCAACGGGAATCTCTTCAATGATAGTCTTGCTCTGCAGGATATATAAACCCCCCATGTTGGCCCCATGGATCCTTTTCCCCAAGGATCAAAATATCTTTTGCATTTCATATTTATCAGACCTCTTCGGGAGCACTTCTTACAGAAGTGTCATCCTTGTTTGATACATACTAGCTTGACCACTCGATCCTTCCAAGCTATCCTATCCTTCTTGACTTATACTTTCTTGACTTGACTATCATCTGATCACTTCACAGTACCACGGACCATCTTCATTTGTCTTGGTCCAAGACCATCTAAACCTTTATCTTCCACTCCGTCTTTGTTCTTCAGGTCTCACAAGGACGGGTCGCAACACCTCCGGCCCACGGCACCCGAAGTCGTTGTCCTTCTGCTCCTCCGGCCACCCCAGCGGCCGTTCCTGTCACTCCCCCCTCTGCTCCAAAGAAGACTCCAAAGTCTTCATTAAAGAAATCAAAAGGCAAAGGGAAAGAGAAAGAGGTCGTCTTTGAGGATGGTGATGTGGGAGAAGAAGGTACTCAGCACGTTGATCCCCCTGCTCCTCGGTGGTCCCTAGTACACCCTCGTATCTCCTTGGACTCTCGTGTCCCGGATGATGAGAAGGAGTTTGCTACCTATCGCTCCCTTGTTCTCGGTCTCACCACTCAACTTGAGGCCGCTCGACATGATACATTCCTCCTCCTCGACTTCACTACTTGGCAAACCAACGCCTTGAATAACCTTACTACGGCGTTAGTGGATGTAGTCAACGGTGGAGATCTGAATGAGGCTTCAAGGGAGAAGCTAGCGGACGTCTCTCGCCGATGTCTCACTGAGATAGCCGATGTTCGCTGAAGACTGTACAACACCCCTTTCCTCTTCACTCCTTTGGTGTATGAGTTACCACCTTCCATTGGTTGGTTAGGTCGCCGTAGTACTTCTCGGCTCCCTGGTTCAGCTCAGACTGCTCTTGATCTCCTTGGTCTCCCCTTCGAGTGTCTTTGGACGGTACGTTCTCTGTGGAGGACTCCGAGCATGCAAGCTGCTCGAGGCGTCCCAGACTTCGATGATTTCTTTGGTGCTATGAACCGGGCATGGAAGGCTTCCCTCACTACTGTGTTCCCCCCTGCTTGTCTGGATCTACCTGCAGCCGTCGGTAGGCTCCACACCAACCCTGCAGGACCAAGTGGAGTGAGGGACAAGGGAAAAGGGAAAGGTAAGTGAGAGGTACGTAGCTGTAATCCTATGTTGTATGCAGTATGATCCTACCTCTGTGGTCCTTCGCAGTCGCCCTTCCTTTGGTTTAGTGGGGTGAAGTTTGTGGAACTTTGCCAATATGTCATTAGCGCCATCAACATTCTCTACCGGTTCCCATGATACTGAATCGTCCGTTCCTTCGTAACCTAACCACTCTACTAGGTACTCTAACTTTCCTAATCTCTTATTCACCCTAGAGTCTACTATGTCTTTTACTTCCCATGATTCTCCTATGTTATCCACCTCTACCAGGCCAGGTGGTTCAGCTTGCTGACAAGGGAATACTGGAGGATGGTAAGGACGGAGCAAAGAGACATGGAATACATCATGGATACGTGCCATCGTTCCTGGTAATTCCAACTTGCAAACGTGAGAACCTACCTGCCGTACTACCTTGTACCGCCCACTTTGCTTCACATCCAATTTCTTCATCGGTCTCTTAGTCTTAATATTCTCTAACGACAGCATAACTAGGTCACCTTCCACGAAGTTCAGCGTAGTTCGATGTTTCCTATTGTATCCCTCGGCGTACTTCTCATTAGCTTTTTCAATCCCCTCTATACATTCTTTATGTATTTTGGTCAAGTCTTTCACCACTACCGTGGCAGCGGGCACTTCGACTTCACTGGTCTTAATCTCTTCGGCCCATCAAGGGTGGTACCCGTAGTTCGTATAGAACGGTGTCTTGTTTATTGCGGAATGATGGGTGTTGTTATAGGCGAAGCTGGCTCGAGCAAGCAGCTTCGACCAGTTGTTCTGCTGGTAAGAAGTGAAGATTCTAAGGTATAATTCGAGAGATTGATTGGTTCGTTCGGTCTGTCCATCAGTCTGTGGATGGTACGCAGTAGAGAGATGTAGTCTTATCCCCAGACTATCGGTTAAGTTTTTCCAAAACTTTGACGTAAACTTCGATCCTCTGTCTGACACTATGTTCTCTGGTAACCCATGCTGAGCCACCACATAGTCCATTATCATCTCTGATAGCCTAGCTGCGGTCAACTTTGTCGTAGTTGGGATAAAAATGGCCCATTTGGTCAACCGGTCCACCACTACCAAGATCCAATTATACCCATGGGAACTCGGGAGTTCTTTGATAAAATCCATCGAGATACTGGACCAAGGTTTCGTAGCCACTTGCAATGGTTTAAGCTCTCCATGGGGCTTCTGCCTGTTAGTCTTTGGTCTCTGACATACCGCGCAGCCGGGGATATAATCCTCGACATCCTTCCTTACTCCGACCCAAACATAATCCCTCAGGACTAGTTCGAGGGTCTTTGCAGAACCTGGATGACCGGCCAGGGGTGAGTCATGTCGCATCTTCATGACCTTTAGTCGAGCATCGGCGTAGTTCGACACATAGGTGTGATCATCAAATGTGAGGAAGCCTCTTGAGGTCCATCCACCGCAAAGTATTAAAGGGGACCGTGAACTACAACGTAGTTTGGTGATTGACTTTGGTTTCTGTATATTATTGTGACACGTCGGATGAGAACACTCAGCACAGATAACTCCTACAGCTCCTCTCTAACCTCCTCCACTTCCTCGTCTTCCTGTACCCCAGCTACCAGATCCATAGGATCAATAAGGTCGTTGTCTCTCACTTCCTTCGTCCCATGTAAAGCTCTAAGGAGGTGTTGTAACCCAGAGCTAGTCTTGTCAAGTTCGTCAAACTTCGGCAAACCCTGGATACGGTTGCTTTCTTGTACCATAGTACTTCCTTTGCCTGAATGATAGTCAGCTCTTCGGGAGAGCCCGTCTGGAAGGGTAGCTTGTTTACCTGGCCTATGCACCATTTTGAACCTGAAGTTAGAAAGCCCCTCGACCCACCTGCCTTGTCTAGGGCTTAATTGTTTTGGTTCCATCCAATACGTCAAGTTTAAATGATCCGTGAGAACTGTAGTCTCCACCTGTAGTAGTAAGTGTATCCTTCTTCTGAAAGCTTCAACAATAGCCAGTAACTCTTCCTTGCCTACCGTATAATTCAACTGCGCAGCCTGGAAGGCCCCTGATTCAATAGCCACTGGGTGTTCTTGTCCTAGTTCGTTTACCTGCAATATTATAAAACCCCAGTCGAAGAACGACACATCTTTCTGTAGCAGTGTCTTCAACGAAGAATCAAAGTGAGCCAACACTGGGGCCCTACACATTGTATCCTTCAATTCTTTAAAAGCCCTTTCCTGTTCTACTCCCCAAACAAACGGTACATCCTTCCTTGTGAGATTGTTGATCGGCTTAGCAATCCTGGAAAAGTTGGGGACAAAGCGACGGTAATAGCTGACTACTCCCATAAATCCTCTACTCTCCCTCAGGTTCTTAGGGCAGGGAAAAGATATGACAGCATCCATGTACTCCGGATTACTAGAAACCCCCTCCTGCAAAACCACAAAACCTAAGAATACTACCGAATCCTTTTCAAACTCGCACTTACTAGCTTTGACGAACAAATTCGATTTTCAAAGAACTTCGAACACCTTCGCGGTAGTTCCTCTCAATTCTTCCAACGTCTGACCATAGATGAGTATATCATCTATGTAGACAACTACTCCTTTCCCTAATAGTGCTCGGAAACTTTCATTTAGGAAAGGCTGGAATACAGCAGGAGCATTTTGCAGACCATCTCGGACAACCAGAGATTTGAACATACCATACTGAGTCCTGAACGCTGTCAGGTGTTCATGTCCTCCTTTTACTCGCAGGAGTTGGTACGCCCCAATTAGATCTAGCTTGCTGAAGTACCTTGCCTTCCCTAGCTCTTCGGTTATCTGGCCGATTAGAGGTAGTGGATAGGCGTCTGGTGTAGTTGCTTCATTTAACTTTCGGTAGTCAATGACCATTCGCCATTGACCTTTTGCTTTCTGTCACAAACCATGTCGTGACATCCCTGACAACCACCATCACCGACCCTCCTTTCACCATCACCAACCACCACCCGAAGCGCTGAGACCGACTACGGCGAAGTTACGAGATCCTAGAGGGTATTTGTCACGATAACCCCGACTAGCGGAGAACTACGGCGAAGTTAGAGGAGGGGAACCGAGGGAGAGCAGAGCAGGGGAAGTTAGGTGAAGTTAGGCGAAGTTAGTTGAAGTGAGCGGAGTAGGTGTCACGAACTACGTCGCGACACCTCGATTACTCCACCAACAATGACCCTCCTTTGGCCATCAAAACCCCATCACGCCTTAACCTCTTTACTCTACACGTAACTCAGGACTTCTGACACCAAGTACGGCGAAGTTAGACGGAGTTAGGCTAAGTAGGAACAATGGGAGCAGAAGTACGGCGAAGTTAGACGGAGTTAGGCTAAGTAGGGACAATGGGAGCAGAAGTGCGGCGATGTTAGGCGGAGTTAGTCTAAGTAGGGACAATGGGAGCAGAAGTGCGGCGATGTTAGGCGGAGTTAGTCGAAGGAGGAAGAGGATGGCCGAGGGCTCGGGGAAGTTGGACGAAGTGCGTTGAAGTACGTCAAAGCGCGAGAGGGTTGGATGAACGTCTAGGAGGAGTAGATAATATTAGCTGAGAAGATCGCTGAAGTTCTTCAGCGATCCTTGATTGTTGTCAGTAGTGAAAGACAGATAGAGATAGCTATAAATCAAGATACATCGCCATCAGTAGAACAAAACCCTAGTTAGAGTAACTACGCCGTAGTACGCCGTAGTTACACCCCTTTCGACGTCTGCGCCCTCCTGGTTGGGTGAGACATCGACTCAGAGCGTGAAGTTAGCCGAGGTTCGTCGACCGTCGGTCTATTAAGAAATAGTTGTTCGACGGGCGTGACAGTAGGTTACCGGGGATATGGCGAGGTACGGCGAAGTTGAGCGAAGAGGACTGAGCACGAGGCTGTGCAGGAGTTGTGGGACGTTCTATGAGAAGAGAGGAGAAGTATAGATAGTTCACAGATTGCTGGACTTCTTCAGCGATCCTTGATTGTTGTCAGTAGTGAAAAGATTGATAGAGATAGCTACATACAAATTAATATACATCGCCAACAGAGAAAAACCCCAGTTAGAGTAACTACGCCAAAGTACGCCGTAGTTACACTCCTTTTGACGTCTGCGCATCCCTGGTTGGGTGAGACATCAACTTAGAAGCGTCAAGTTAGCCGAGGTTCGTCAACCGTCGGTTTGTTAGAGAGAAGTGTTCGACGGTTGTGACAGAATTTTATTGAGTTGCCTCTTCCATCAAGGACAACACCCTCTTTCCTCATCCAGTCCCACCCTATCACAACGTCTGCATCGCAGAGGGTTGTTACATCGAGACGAACAGATCGCTCTTCGGTGTCCTTTGTCAAACTGAAAGTAACTTTGATGAACTCGGTAATAGGTCCAGCGACACTAACTGAGCCATCAAACATGTGAACGGGTACGCTCACCGGGTATCGTCTCCTTTCTACACCTATCTTTGCCGCTGTCTTAGGGCTTCTATATGAACAAGTAGCCCCAGTGTCCCAGAGCGTGGTTAGTTTGATTCCATTGCTGAAAATGTCCGATTTAGGTTGATCTCTAGCAGTGGAAGGGATAAGGAGGTGACTATCGGTGGTGCATAAACAGGGGGTATTGAGTGGTGTATTTTTGTATTCACAATTCTCTGGCTCCATCAGCTGTGTCTCTTTTCTAGGTTTGGGAACGGTGGCCGAGAGAATATGGCGGACCCGCCGAGTCTCGCCTACTGCGACAGGTCCTCTTCTTTTCCCTGGTCCTCTTCCATTTCCCATTCCCCTGTGACTGTGTTTAACTTCCTCCTCTGTCCAAGAAGTACGGCGTTCCCGCCCGATCCTGCATCACGTTCTCCAAACTTCTCCCCCCATGGCGGCAACCATCCAACCTTGACCTCCGCCTTCCTTACTGGACAATCCTTCAGCCAATGCCCCTTTTCGCCGCACTCAGTACATTTCCCCTCCTTTCTCGCCTCTCTCAGCTCAAGACTTGGTCTAGGCCACATTCGGCAAAGTTCGTCGGCAGTCGTTGGCACCGCTTTAGTGACCGTCGCACTTGTGGTCACTTGTGCGTTGAACTTTGGGGAAGATTTCCTGTGGTCCCACTTCTTCTCTTCCTTGTGGCCATCCGTCCCTGCCACTTTTCTCACCACCCCCGTCTCTTCCTTCTTTCCACATCTTTTTCCACCTTCCTCCTCCACAGCCGATTGTCCAAGGGAATAACAAACTCCAATAATTCTCTAACCGTTCCAAATGATTTACCATGCCTTGCGATTTTGTCCAAAAGGTGTGATTTCAGACCTTTCCTGGCTTGATCAACTAGATTTCCGTCATCAGACCACTTGAGTATCGCCACATGTCGTTGAAAAGCAGAGAAGTACTCTGAAGCTGAGCCGGTTTGCTCGTGGTCATTGAGCATTCGGGCTGCAGGTCCTTCATCGTGGGGATCCCCAAAGTCAGTCTTGAGATACCTGATGAATTGATTGTATACTGTGAGGTAATCAGGAAGGGGTCTTTTAGCCAGGTCGGGTTGAACAGCGAGAAGAGGTGTTTCGCGTAAGTGAGAGATCGTGAAAAAGACTTTCTTGGTGTCATTGGGAAAAAGATGGGAGTTCAACTCAAAGTGTACTTCACACTCGGACAGAAAGGCGGTTAACTTGTTCCTGTCTCCTGTCCAGAGGTTGGGGATAGGCAGCTTTATCCCTTTTCGTTCGCTAATTACGCTTGGAGTCGCTGAAGTTTGCCCTCCCATGGCGTACCTCACTCCTTCTGATATCCCTTCTGCAATCCCCCCTTACTGTTTCCCTCTCTCTCCTCTGCTCCCATTCCTCCCTACGCTTCCTCTCTTCCATCATGTCTTTGTTTAAATTCACCACCAACTGCATCATGGCCAACATCATCCCCTGAGTTCCTCCTTCAAAGTTCCTCCCACTTTCTACACCCTCACTCCCAGTAGCTCCTCTCTGTCGTGGGGTTTGGTCTGATTCGGTTGGGGACCTCGAGTACGAGTAGTTGTTGAATATGGTGGGTTGGATATATTTTGCCTCATGTCACACACAGAATCATTCATATCAGTATCAGTATCATACAAGTATATCTCACAAACATCGTTTTTCAAGCAACATTTAGTTACCGTACCCTCCTCTGTCACTGTTCAAACCATCCATCACAAGCGAATCGACTTTAACTTTTCAAACATCTCTCTTCCCCTGTGACTATGCATACAGTACCGTTTAAATCACAGACGATGACGACGACATCTACCGACTCAGAAGTTCAAACTCAAATTTCACAAGGCAACTCTTGATAGGTCACATGTGTGAACATTGTAAAAAGCACTAGCTCAGTGATACTGATTAGCCCGGTACCTCACAGTACAGTCGACTGTACCTGTCGCGGACGGCGACGCACGGTCGACGCTACTTTGCACATCCAAAATGCATGTGTGTTTTTCTCTTTTTCTATGTTGTCTCGTCATATATCTCCTTAGATTGCTTTCTTACAAGTACCAAAAGCATGCCATCACAATCCCTAACTGCTGCGGTACTTGATTGTCACAAAGTCATACCTCCTAAAGTACCCAACTTCTCCACCATCGCCAAAGAACACAATGTCGTACGCACCACCCTTAGTCGCAACTACTACAAATCCCTCCATGAAATCCCACCTGATGGTCGATCCAACCAATCGCATCTTGATGAACATGAGGAAGCTGTCCTAGTAAAGCGTGTTCTTGAATTGGGAAAACGTCGACTCTATCCCACTCCTGCCATCCTGCGGAACATGGCTTACGAGATTTGTGGTACCCTTCCGTCTAGCAAGTGGGCAACTTGCTTTATAGATCGACACAAGGACCAAATCAAGTGCATGAGGGTTCATGGGATGGAGAAATCACGGCATACGGCTGAGTACAAACCAATCTTTGAGGAATACTTTGATATTGTGAGTTTACCTGCTTTCACAATCTATTGCTGATGGCTATAGTTGGAGAGCCGATGTGATGAACTCAATATTGGGCCAGAGGCAATATTTAACATGGATGAGAAAGGATTCATTATTGGGCAGACAAACAAGGAATCTCGGATACTTCCCCTTGAAGAGACACTCAAGTCCGACCCGGCAAAAGCGCGCATAGATGGATCTTGAGAATTTGTCACCCTCATTGCTGCTATCTGCGCTGATGGCACTGCCCTTCCTCCTGCTCTCATCTACAAAGGGGTATACGGCCAGGTATGCGAAAGCTGGACTTCCGAGGTTCTCCCAAGTGATGAGACCTTTATGGCTGCTTCGGAAAAAGGGTGGACAGACGACAATCTTGGGCTTCAATGGCTAACCGAGGTTTTTGATAAAAGTACTGCTTCAAGACAACTATGGCGTCGTCTTCTTATCGTCGATGGACATTCAAGTCATGTCAACTACACTTTCCTGCAGCTTTGTGATTCACTTCGCATTGCGGTCTGCATTCTTCCTCCACACAGTACCCATCTACTTCAGCCATTGGATGTTGGCGTCTTCTCACCGCTTTCCTCCCACTACACTACTGTCTCCACTCAACTGTCTGTCGCTTGGGAAGGTAGAGTGGGAATGAGTAAAGCACTCTTTTACCTTATCTTCAAGCAAGCATGGGCTAATGCTCTCTCGGAATCCACCATACGACATGCTTTTGCGAAGGCGGGCATCCATCCAAGGAATCGTAATGTGGTAATCGATTCTGTCTTCACCCGTCCGATAACCCCACCCCCCAAAGAGCAGACTGGGCCGGTCCAGTCATTCTTCAATCCACCCAGTTCTCCCCTCAACGCCAGCGGTTCAGTCAAACTCATGCATCGAATGCGCAAAGGTGAAGTCACACCTGACTACACAAGTGGGAAATTGTACAAGGCATTCCGGTCTTTATCTGCGGATCATCACCTCATGAAATCAAAGTTGGACAATCTGGAGCAGGCGATATCACACACAAGGAGAAAGAAGACGACTCGAAAGTATGTAGCAGATCAAACAGAAGGTGGGGTAGCATTCTTAGGGCCACAACAGTTTCAAGAGGCAGGGAGGCGTTTGATCGAGAGGAAGCAGAAGCGGAGGAAGCAGAGAGATTGAAGGTTGTTGCTGCAGAGGAGCGTGCAGAGAAGAAGAGACAACAGGAGGAAGCAACAAAGGTGCGAAGAGTAGCAGTAGCTGCGGCTAGAGCTGAGAAGAAGAGGAAGCAGGAAGAAGAAAAGGAGAAAAAGAAACAAGATCGTGAGCTCAGGAAAGCGGAGAAAGCGCTACAAACATTGGCTGCATTTGAAGCAAAAAGATCTGCGGGTTTGTCTAGACATAGGGGAGCCGGAGGTTCGAGTAAGTCATATCCAAGCAGTAGAATCGGCTGACAGCCTTAGGAACAGGCGCAGGACAATCCTCCATGTCAGTGGATGTGGCTATAGAAGAGGTGCCGCAGTTTCCTGATACCAAAGTGCCAGGTGAGTTTGGTGCAGTATAATTTCAGTATGATGAGTGTATGGGCTATCGTCTATCATAGACAGATATCTGGACTATACAGACAAAGATTATGCATGTTAAAGATGATTTTCCATGTAGTTGCTACCAGTTGAAGGAGTGTGCAAAGTAGTGTCGACCGTGCGTCGCCGTCCGCGACAGGTACTGTTTGAGCATTGGAAATTTCACATCCATAGACCTTCAAACCAGCGATCGGACCTGACGTGTTGGAAATCTCTTTCGATGGCTACTTGTCAGTGTTGCCTTTTCTTTGTTATACCTTCGGCTCGGCTAATTGTAACAAAGGAAGGGGTGAGGGGGGGGATGGGCCAAGCCATAGGTACCATAGGGATAGGGATCTCGGATACAGTGAGAGTGACTTTTCCCTCTGGCGACAAGCACAAAGAATTTTACAGTATTTTATATCAAGGACAAAGGTTGACCGTTTGATTCAGTTCTACAATGGGAAAAAGAACTGCTTGGGTACTGGGGGGAAAAGACAGAATCGGGAGGGGAGGAACAGGTACGGCCCAATGTGGCAAGAAAGAAAGAAACCGGATACGAGGTGAAAGATGGTGGAACTCACCGTCCAAAAACCATCTCATATCATCAAATCTACCCCGAGGGAAAGATTCTCTGTTATCCTGCAACTTTTCCAAAAAATACCTGATCAATTCTCTCGGTAACGATTCCGGATGACGGTTTTTCCATTGGAAAGCTTTTGGAATAATGTTCACAGTCCATTCTTCTTTCCATTTCGTGTCTCCTTTTGCTTTTGCCGATTCCGATCCGACAACCTTAGAGTCTGACTCTTCCTCACTGACGGTAGAACCGTAACCTACTCTGAGGGTCGAGTTCCACACCACGATGACTTGTCGTATGACGTGTTGAATCTCTCTAGGTGTGACGACTGGCATTGTGTTTGGATCAAAAGCTACGCTGTCGAACAGTGTTTCCAATCGATTGTAAACGTTTCTCAAGATGGGAGCCATGACCTTGTCCAGATCCAAATCTAAATCTAAATCCGGATAGATACCCTCCGAGGTGATGATCTCGTCCGCACCCTCGTCATTGCCGCCGAGGGATAAACGACCCAATAGACCGATAAGAGGGATAGCTCTATGAAGTACGTGACCTGTCTCTGACGCATGTTGACAGATCTTTATCAAGTTATCTCTAAACTGGGACATTCTTTGTTGTCCCAGGTGACAACGGACAATGCCTTTTCGGATCGATTTGGCTAGACGTTGAACGTCTCTGTCACCTTTGTATTCACCCATGTTGGGGTCCCACTCGACCCTCAGCTGTCTGACGGGAACCAGGAGGAGATACAGGATCATGTCTTTGGATTCTTGGTGATCGTCGTACATGACATCGATCTCTTCTTGTGCTTTGACGAGGAGGACGTCTTGCTTTTCGAGTTTCTTGTTTAGTTTTCCGACGACGGTAAGGTTTCTTTTCGTCAGGTCGTCCATGATTTCTTGTGCCTTCTTTTCCCGTTTGATCGCAGCGTTTGTCTCTTCCACCTTGGCGTGGTACTGCTGCTCCATCTGTTCGAATTTGGTGTTGTGCGCTGTCTCCATCTCCTCGACCTTGGCGTGGTACTGCCGCTCCATCTGTTCCAACTGCGCCTGCATCTCGGCGACTTTGACGCCATGGTTTTCCCTCACCATCTCCATCTCAACCACACGCATCTTGTCCAACCCCTCTCGCTCTGCTCTTTTCCCATCTTCTCTCATCCGAGCCATCTCCTGTTCTCTCCACCTCAACCGTTGTTCTCTAGCGTCCATCACCTTTGAATCCTTTTCGGGCGAGCCGAGGAGATCGACCGACAACCTGAACCGACGATCACGGCCACGATCAGGTCTGGACCGTCGCTTGCTGTGAAAGCCGTATTTGATATTTTCAGATATCCAGTCCGAATCGTCAGAGTCTGGCTCCGAGACTCCCTCGTCAGACCCAGTCGACTCGTGGTCTTTGTCTCTAGCAGGAACCGAAACGGTCTGAGGATCGGGTAAATCTTCTTGCTTCATTTCGACTTGGACTTGGTCGAGTTTGACTAGAGCTTGGGAAGAGAGGAGGACGGTGTCATCCACGATGAGCCATTGGGTTTGATCGATTTTCAAGCTCAACATGTCTTGAACCCGTTCTTTGACGCTCGGGCTCGGGCTCTTGGACGACGGAGATGAACCTGATAGGATGGAACGATAACTGACACCTTTTCAGCTTTTCACTCTCTTCTCTAGGCGAGGTATCCAATGAGGGCATACGAGTCTCCTTCTCAGCGTGGATGGGAGAGACATGAGATTGCTCATCGCTGGGTGATGATGTTTGAGCGGGGTATCGATTCAAATTCACATGGACAGAAGAAACTCACCGATGAAAAAAATGTTCAACCGTCCGTCTGACCGGCCAACGAATCTTCATCTCCTCTAGAACGACCATGACTCCTGCCGCTTTCAACTGCAAAGCCAACAGCGCAAGGTTAGGTTCCTTATTCACGGTACCATATTGATGTGCGTTATCGAATGATCTCAAACAGTGAACGAAGAAGACGTTTGTGGAAGTTTCAATGGCGTGTTCATGATGCCGGATCTGTTCGAGAGCAGAAGCTGTCGAATAAGCGTTAGACAACAAGTCGGTCCCTAATGTTTGTTCACCATCGGTATCGGGGTCGGGGTCGACGATGCAAGCTTGAATGGAACGATCCAATTGTGTGAAAGTTTCAGATTCGAGTAATAGGTTTTTAGTCACAGTTGACCATTTGAGAGAGTTGTCATGGATGAAATCTGTAGTGTCGTATGATACATCTCCGGCCAGATGGTTGATCAGGCAGAAAGGATATAAACCTCCCTGTGCGAGATGAGGTGTAGACGAAGGTCGGGAGAACAAAGCCGTTTGAAGGCGAGTCTTCACCTGGGATGAGTCGGGGGGGTTGGACAGGGAGGAGAAATCTTGGCTGATCCGAGTGAGGTCTTCCAAGAGGGTGATGGAACGTTCGGCCGCTTCATCTATCAGAGATTTATCAGGTGAATGATGGGACCGGTCTGGTAAGGTCTCGATGGAAGCAACCGATTTGATCATCTGTCCAGAGTCAGTGATGTTTCCATGGCAGTGAATCTGGGACAGTGAGAGGTGGGTGGGTGAGCGGGGAAGAGCGAGAGAGGAGGGAAGCGAAAGTCATCACCCGCTGGTAAACGTGTCAAGGGGACAAAGCAAAAGTTACTAGAGACTGTCAAGAGGAAAAGTTTGCGAAAGAGTGACGGTATGTGAGGGAGGAATCACGATCACACGCAGAGCTGGTTGACTCACAGACCTGCTGACGACTTGGTTGGTCGAATTGACAATCAACTGGTCTAATCTGTTCTGCAGGTCAGTGTCCCTTCTCGACGGTGGTGATGGGAGGAACAAGTGGTCCTCCCCGGGACAGCGGTGATGGTGAAAAAGGCGCCTGAGCATCATCTTTCGGTGAAGGGGGAGGCGGGTCAACATGATCCTTCGGTGATGGGGATACAAGGATGACACGCGAGACCGGTGATGGAAAAGAATGCGACAACTTGACAGCCGAGTGGAGAGAGTGAAATGTTCGAATGTTCCAAGTCGTACATCGAACTCACCACTTTGAATTTTTCATGTCCCGGCTAGAGATGATCAGTTTAGCTTTCTGCTTTCCACATCTAGAGAGAAGAGAAAGGACAGCTGACGGTGGCAGATGGCAAACACAGTTGACGATTACAGAAAACGAAGAGAGATGAGATGACCCATAACTCACCATATCGATGACTCTGATCAAATAACCTTCATCTTCGGTCGGTACGTCATCTAGAGGACCAGGTGTGACGCTACCGAGATACGAGTTGAGGACAGTGGTCATTTTCTTCCTCTTGTCAGTTTTCGAGAACAAACTCTGGACTCGGGGCGGATGGTGTTGAGGGAGTAGAGAGGGAGAGGGGAAGGGATGTTATGCGCATGGGTCGGAGTGGGAGTGTGTCAGAGAGAGAGAGAGAGAGAGAGAGAGAGAGAGACAAAGACACAGAGAGAGAGAGTCGGAAAGATACAAAGGGACCGAAAGAAAACACCCAGCTCACATCTACCACGAGAACATATTGACCCTCACCCAAAGACCTGACCTCTTCTTTCCACCCATCAACTCGAGAGATATGTTTCGCCAACGTCTTTGCATCATGACCCCAAAGCTTTGCCGTGTTGATGATCGAAGGATTCGAGACCAGCCATTGGTAGATGGATTGTGAGGGTGAAGGAGGATGATCTGGTCCAGACATCAAATGGCGAAGATGGATTATACCTGCCAATAGTTTTAACAAGTCGTCCACTATGTGTTGACCTAGTTGTGATTTCAAACTTTCCAAGACGTCTTTGAGATGGCTGGCCAGACGGTTCAGACGATCACCTCGGTCACCGACAAGCTTGGCCAGACCATCATCATTTGAAGAGATTTGATCGAGATGTAAATGAGGGTATAGGTTGGAAAGCAAGGGAAGAGCGACCAAAATGTGAAAAGTTTCTTCGTCTTCTCTATCCAGCATGGCTCTGCGTTCCAATCCGAAAGAGAAAACCTCGACCGATTCGACTCTGAGTCGGGGTTGTTGCATCTGCCTGGAATAGACAATCTGTGGGGAAAAGTACGTGAGCGAGTGTGAGACGAGGTTGAGCGAGTTGAAAACTCACAGCTGTCTCGGTGGAACCACGAGAAGAGTCAGGGTTGGTGACTGTACATGCGCTTGCGAGAAGGTTATGACAGTCGACGACGAGAGCGATGGCTGCGGGGAGAGAGAGACGGAGGGGATGAGCATCATGTGCAGGAGGTCCAACGTTTGAGAGAGACAAGAGACGAGAGATGATCATGGTCGCCGTCCTCGTCTTACCGGATGCTCTACGTGCAGGTCAGTCAAAGGAGAGAAAGTGTGAGAGGTTGCAACTCACGAAGGACCAGTACAGTACAGGGTAGAGACGTCTTGACCTTGGACGACGGTACGGAGGAGGGTATCACACAGGTCGTCGACGGGATCATGGTGGTGGTGGTGGTGGCCATCATCGTGGGCATGGTGGTCACGATCACCGTCTTGTCCGACACCAGGATGAAGTTTGAGCAAGACGCGGGGGCCGAGGTGAGTGCAATGACGTCGTACGTTGCCACGACGTACAATCAGGTCCGCCACTGGGCATCAGCGTACATCTAGGGGGTGGGTAGGGGGGTCGGTAGGGGGGTAGGGAGGCAGGGGGTCGGGGGGTGGTAAGAGAGACACTTACGTCGGCGCTCGGTCTTTGGAAAAGAAGTGAACAAGCTGAGATCCTTGACCCGATCGGGTGACCCGAAGAGTTGGCCATCATCATTCGTCATCGTCTTCATCTCATCGTCATCGTCATCGATCCCGATCTCACCG